CCCCAACCAACGCCGTTCATGAGGCGTAGCCATGTAGGTCGCAATGCCCCACGTTCGAATGATGTGGGTGGGCTCTCGGACCGTATCTTTTCCTCCGACGCCTACATGCAAAAACCCACACCCCAAATAATTAGGAGTTCGGGGTTGGGAATTAAGGCGGGTAGCGAATTCAGGGCCAGACTCAAATTCAAAACCCCAAACAAACCTCCGAAGCCCTTGAGCTAAACCCTAAACGCTAAACCCTCAACCCTCAACCCTAAATCCCTAAAACTTCTGAGTCACTTCTGAGGTCCAAGACGCAGGTTTCTCCATAGCCCCCACAAGCAGGGTGAGCTGCGCGAACACGAGGCATACCGCCCAGCGGAGCATCTGGGTCCTGGGTTGCAGGTCTGAGCGTTTGGGGCCTGAGTTTAGCAGGGCTTGGGAGGTTTAGGGTTGAGGATTTGAGCTTTAGGGCTTCTGGCGCTCGGCACCCTAAACCCTACACCTTTACACCCCTCATGTAACCCTAAACACTACACCACTAAACCCTAAACCCCTAAACCCGTAATTTTGGGGTTTGAGTTTAGTTTAATGGCTTTGCTGGTATGTAAGGCTGTGTAAGGGTGGCTAAGACTCTCTGCGGATACTGAATGCGCGATGCATGCCTACCTGCCTACCGACCTATCTCCCTCGCTACCTACACACGTGCACAGTCATGCACAACCAGACATACAGACATAAATGGGAGTTTCCGAACATCTGCGGTACCTTTTGGGTACCTTATAATCAGGACCCTACTATTTAGGGTACTAAAATAGGATCCTCTATTTTCGGAAAGTCCCAAATAGATACAGCAATGCCTGCGTGAGTGGACACGCAGACACACACGCACGCGCATGACGCAGAGAGTGCATTTCTTACGTTCCCCCCTAAACCCTAAACCCTGAACCGTGAACCCTGAACCCTAAACCCCTAAACCCTGGCTGTGGCCCTCCCCGAGGCTGGGACCGTCTGCTGCGAGAACCGATGCAAAAGAAGACTCGACTCCAGAGGTTGAAAGCTTCGTGGGATCATACGGGTTTCGGGTTTAGGGTTTAGGGTCTATCTATCTATCTATAAATACATATATGATATAGTTATAGAAGATCAATACTCAATACGAATCCCAGAGTTGGACCCTTATGGCCTTAAGCCGAAAGTCCAAGACCCTCAAAGTTTAGACCAGCCCCTGAATCCTCAACCCTGCCCCCTAAATCCAGACCCCTTATTAGGGCCCCTTATCCTCAACTGCCAGCCCCTGAAATAGAAACCAAAAGGCGCAGAATACAACACAGTACCAGAGAAAAAAAAACCGTAAACCCCAAACCCCAAACCCCTGAACCCCTAAACCCCCAAACCCCCAAACCCCTAAACCTCCAAACCCCCAAGCCCCCAAACCCCGAAATCCGCACAACCCCAAACCGCAACACCCCCAAACCTCTGAGCCCTAAATCCACAAACCCCTAAACCCCTAACCCTCTGTAACCATAAACGAACCCCTAAACCCGTAAGCCCCCAAACCGCCAAGCCCCTAAACCCCTGAAGCCCAAGTTGATGCCCGAAGTTCTCCAAAAAGGCGGCGGCCACGAGGGTCTACAGGCTGCCCGGCCTAATCTGTGGGCCACAGGGCTCAAAGAGGCGATGCTTAAGGGTTCTTTAAGTAAGGTTTAGGGTTTATAAGGGCCTTTAGAGGCTATTACGGGCTTCAGGGCCCGGAGTTCTGTAAAAGTTTACGGCTAGGGCTTAAGGGGTTAGGGTTCAGGGTACAGATTATATGAGCGGCTTAAACCGGTTCTTTAAGGTTGGACAAAGAGGCCTGCTAAAAATGGAACAAAGTTGTACAGGGCTTCTATGAGTGTCGATCAAGTTTCTGAATATAAAGGCCCCAGTAATTCGACCGGAGCATTCTACAATGGCATGTACTGGTTTGTGTTTATTCGCGCTTCGCACAGGGGCATTAACAACTGGACTGGACTGGGGGCTGCATTGAATATGCTTGGTAAAGGGACTTTCAAGCCCGCTTACCGTAAACCCTAAACCCTAAACCCAAACACTATATAACTACCCATGAGTCTCCAAGTACAGGAGACTCAATGATTGGAGCTGGGTGTTTGGGGCATATTGCATTCGAGCTACATGCTACTACTTAGTTGGACCTTATTATTAGGGCTTGAGGGTTGGGGGCTTCGGGTTTCTGGGTCAAGGCTTAGGGGAGACGATTTTAGGGTTGAAGGTTCAGGGTTTGGGATTTCAGGTGGACTCGGGTGTTTCTTGCTATGGCTCTTTGGAGTTGATGGCAGTTCCGTAGGCTTGCTTCGGGTTGAAAACTACAGTAAGCTTAGGGTTTGGAATTTGGCTACGGGACTAAAACCTGAACCGTGAAAACCCTAAACCTCGACCCTAAACCCTAAACCCTAAATCCGCAACGCCTGCCTCCGAAACTTAGGGCCCAGGGAACTGTAGGCTTCCGTTGTCGAGCCTGCGGTTTTCCGTGGGACCCAAACGGATATAAAGGCACATGGAAAGCTCTAGGACTCGCTTCTCTAAGGTTCGGGATGCGGGGTTCAAGTTGTGGGTTGTTGGGTGTAGGCCACTCAAACGGCAAAGATAGATTCCTGAGCTTCTTCTTTTCTCCAGGGTCGGCATCCTTGAGAGTGATGAGGCAGGTAAGGTGCCTTGATGAACGGCTTGAGGGGTTTGCTGGGGGAGCCTTGGGGGGCTTACAAGCCTACTAACCCTAAACCCTAAACCGTCATAATTGACGGAGAAGTCAATGTTGAAACTACAGGCTAAGGGTTAGGGCTTCGGGTCTCGGGGTTTAGGGGTTCCGGGTCAGGTCTTGGGCTTTGGTTAGGGAACCTACGGTTGATGATATGAATCCTGGATTTTTTATGGACCCTGATTATGGGAGTTATGGTATATTCCTGATTATGGGTAATTCCGGATCTATATCAACAACCGTAGGTAGTGCTAGGGAAACCATGAACACCCTTAAAGGCTGATGGGACTTTGGGTTGATTTATACCATCAACCGCATGGCTCATCAGATATCTCAACCCTGGCGTGCAACTTCCGCGCCGACACCGGCCCAGATTCGACTCCGGGCCCTGGCCCTGCTGGGGGTTTAGGTTGCAGGGTTGAGGGATCCAGAGGCTCCAAAATCCCTAAGTTACGGAATATACCTCAAATTGTATTACGACCTCACATATGATTTAAGGTGTATTCCTTCTTAATTAAGGGATAATGTTGGAGTCTCTGGGTGGTTGTAAGTGCATTGGGTTCCTTTGAGGGTTCTACAGGGTCTAGGGTTTTGGGATTAAGGTAGTTAGAAGTGGGGTTATAAGGGTTCCTGTAAGGGTTCCAAAGGGTTTTAGGATATTATGGATTAGGGTTTAGGGTGGGTCTATAAGTACTGGAGCTATACTTATCATCCATGTTATTAGGGGACGTATATATATATATATATATACATGTGTATATATATATACCCCTATACTTATAACTAGCTCAGCTAAGTCGAGCCGCTGAAAAAACTTGACAGAGGAGTTTCAGAAAATCTTGGACACGGAACCCTGGTCCCTTCCATTCAATTCAGGTCATGCTGAAGTAGTCTAGGGGTCTGGATACTCGGTGATAATATACCCTGATAATTGAAGGGTATCGGGCTCTCTGAGTAGGATGTTGTTCAGGGTTTAGGGGTTTAGGGGTTTAGGGTTTGGGGGTTTAGGGGTTTCGGGGGAATACCACAGAGCCGGTGTGTCGCGCGCATCCTGGTGCTGGGGCTGCTAACTGTCACGGCAAGCATGCAAGGCTCTAAACTAACAGAACAGGGCTGTCCTTGTGCAGCTTATGCCATTGTAGCTTATATAATCGTATAATGGTGAACCCTAAGGCATAGTAGTACGAATTATTCTAGCTTCTACAGTCGAGCCGAAGCCCTTGAATTCGGGGCCCAAACGCGTAACGGCTGCTTGATGGCTTATTTCATGTGAGAAAAGACGAGCACGGGGCTACAAAATCGGGGTTGGGTGTAACGACAACTGCATCCATAAAAGTTTGCAGACTGGAGGAAGCGTGTTCGCCATTCTTGAGCCTCTTGCATGCTGGTGGTGCAGTGGCATCTGAAGGAGCCCGGTGTGTACATGAGCCGGGGGGATACTCGCTTCGCATCCCCCACTGGCCGGATTTTCGGTGAGACCTTAGGCTCAAAGGGCTTCGGGCTCAAGATATTCAATCTAGGATGTAGTTCGATGTAGGTTTACGACCCTGGACCCGAAACCCAAACCTCAACACCCCAAACCCTACTGACCCTACTGTATCAGCTCAAACCTAGAAATCCTAGACCGCACAGCCACAAGCAGACTCCGGAGGACGCAAGGCGCGGGTGATGCACCCTCAAACGGTCATCCCTTTGCGTTGCCCATGTGTTAGGTTGTAGCGGCTTAGGTGTGTAAGGTTTAAGATTTTTGAACTTTTTGAAGATGCGACGGCCTTGCACACGCAGGGTTTCGGGTTTAGGGAGTGTTGAAATTTGCTGTTGGTTTAACAACGCAATCCTCGAGGACTTTTTGAGGCTACGGGTTAGCATTTACAGCAGTGTTGTGGGAACTGAGGTTTAGCATGTAGAGTTTAGGCATTATGGATTGGGCACTGAAGCTGGGAACTGAGGCGTTGGGATTCACAACCCGCGCGCACACGTGCAAATCAAGAGAAAACAAAACGACGCAAGAAAAAATCAAAGAGTTGAAGATACGGTGCACGGCTATGTTGAAAACGCAGCAAGCCCCAAAACTGACACAACCATTCTCAGACCATAAACTACAGGAAAAGCTCTGGCAAATCCAGAATCACGGGAAAGCCAGCCCCCAAGTTGCATCTCAAACCCTCCTGCTTGGCCTTCGACCCTGTCGAACCCCTAAGAGGGTGAAACCTCGTGAAACACGAGGGGGTTGGGCGCCCCCATGGGTGAGACACGCTTCTCACTCTTGCACCTGCCGGCCAGGTCTGGTTTTGAAATTTTACTTGGCGGTTCATGGGTAGTTATTAGGGTTCGTTTAAGGGTCCCTTTAAATTTGAAGGGATCTATAGGGGTTCTATAAGGGTGTAGGGTGTAGGTTCTATGTGGAGGTTCATGGGTAGTGAGTAACTATACTTATAACTCATACTAGGGGACTTCTAGCCCTACTTATAACTACCCATGAACCTCCAAGTAGTCCTTGGGCTTTAGGGCTCGTGTTTCTCAAACTTGAGCTTACCGTTTTTGGCTTTTAGGCTTGAGGGTGTATCGGCTCACCAAACCTCTGGCCTGAACTGGGGAATGCGGGTATCATGGGGAATTACAGGTTATTCTTTTTGGTTATATAAGGGTTATATACTATTACTACCCAAAAGGGAAAAAGGGTTGCTTACTTTACCTAGGATGCCCAGTAACCTAGGAATAAAAAGGGCTCCCTTTTTGGTAGTGGGTAACTGCATAAGGAACCTAGGACTACAAATGGGAACAAGGGTACTACTGGGCATCCCAGTATCTCAAGCAGGTCATCTAGCACAAAAGCGGAGTAGAGCTCGTATTGCCACTCGACTCAAGGGGGGATTCCTCGCTACAAGACCTCACACTTCGAATGAAGCTGGGACTCGAATGATATGGGTCTAGATCTCGGCTCTTAAAACATCGCTCACAGGCTTGCTACATAGCTCATGCCTAAGGTCTGCTCATGTAGCAGGACCTGTCAAGTTAAAGGCATGTTCAAGATGATGCCGCTGGGAAGTAACGAGCACGATCACTTGTTGCTGAACTGCAGGGCCTTCTGAATAGAATAGGATTTTGGGGTAAGTTATTCTTTTTTGACATACTAATGGATGACTCTACTACTCATGAAGACCCCTACATCAATTGTGTACTCCCCTGGGCCTGCGAAGACATCGCCTGCGATTGGCTCTTGAGCTGCGCGCGGAGCATCTGGAAGTAGGCCTGCGTTTGAAGGCTAACGTAGGGGACCAACAGCAGGTACAATGATAATAATAATAGTAGTCATGACATCAAAAATTAAATGTAAAATAGATGTAATAACAATCATCACACCAATAATAAACTTATGTTAATACGAGTAATTAGAACAGGGCTTCGGAGGTATGTTTTGTAATAGCCGAAACTCTCGGCCCCGAAATCCTGCACCTACAGCCTACAGCCAAATCCCAACAACCAACACCAAAAGAGTCCAAAGTCCCCTACGCGCTAAGGCTTTCTTTTCAACGCCAAGGGCTTAGGGTTTAGGGGGTAAGCCCTGGCCCTAAATCGTTGAACCCTAAGTCCTAAACCTCGACCCAGAAACTCAAAAAGCAAAATCTGAACCTAAAACCCTGAACTCTGTACCCCACAAGCCTACACCAGCAAAACTGCGAATGCCACGGCCCGAGGTCCCGCCTGCTTGGTACCCTGGAAGTCCTGGCAGCTGCATGCTGGTTATGGAAGCTTCAATCCGCTTTTGGCTCTAGGGTATAATAGAGGGGCCTTCATAAAAATAATAGGGTTTGGGGGCCCATTATACTTTAATTAAAATGAAGAAACACCAAATTAGTATAGGTCATTGTCAAGGCCCCTATAGTAGGGCATAAGCGGCCTGGGGGCTCGCTTATCGAACCCTTGCTTGGATTCTTTGGAACTCTACTTGGAGATCATTCAAGAGCCCGTAACACCCTGATAGAAACCCTATTCTAATCATATGTTAAGGCCCCTGTTTTCAAATCCCTGTAGGCCCATTTAAGAACCCTTCTAGAACCCTTTAAAGCCCCTCATAGAAGTCCCTCTAAGGCTAAAGTTTTGGGGGATTTGTGGGGCCGGAGCTCAGCCTTGTTGTGACGCTCGATCTCTTCCTTGAGGTCCTGGACCTGCCACGGTGATATATAGGGCCCTTAACAATTAGGATAGGGAAACTCGGAAACCCGCCTAAAAACTAACCCCAAAACCCCGAACTGTATAGCTTGGGGTTGCGAGTTTGAGGGCAACATAAAGAAGAAAACGTTTTGGGGCCCTTATCTGAAGCTCCCAAGCGAGAAGCAACCACGCCCCTGAAGTAACTAAATTTGGGGCTTGGGGATTAACTTTTGAAGAAGACCCAAACTTCAAGGGCACAGAGGATTTTGCTTGAGGCGAAAACGCCCCTTTTTGGGGCTGCATGTGGGGATTGGTTACTATTTAGTGTGAGCACAACTAGTGAGAGTACCAGATCAGATTCCATCATTCCATTCCGCTACTGGCTGCTTCCGTTGACACTACGGGTGCTACTGCTACTGCTCGCGCAATCATCGTATCTGAATTCTGCTTGAGCACTTCGCGCTTTCAAAGTTTTCTTGGAACCAGCCTGATTGTGGCACATCTCCGCTAAACCCGAAACCCCAAACTGAACCCTAAACCGAGCCTGATTGTGGTACATCTCCAACTCCTGGGTCATCTGCTTCATGTGCCCGGTCTTCTCCTTCAGATTCTGGCTGTACCTGGCGCGAATTGGTGGAGCCCAAATGCCATACCCAGTGTTGCGGAGTGTATATTATATTATCTGATATTATATTAGATTATATTATATGATATTATATTAGATTATATTATATGATATTATTATATATTATATTATATTATATTATATTATATAGTTATATGTATATTATATTATGAATATTTATTATGTTTATATTATCGTATAGTTAGTTATACATAATTTATTATATTTAATATTCTTCTATTAAATATTGTATATTATATTACTATTATATTTATTATATTATAATTATATTTATATTATATATGATTATATTAAATATAGTTATATATATTATATTATATCAATCTTATATTATATTCATTAGACTATTAAATAGTCATATAGAATCTATACTATATAATCTATACTATATACTATATAAACTAATTTATATAATTCCTATATATATAGTATATATTATATACTTATAATTATAGATTATATACTACGATAAATTAATAATATATACTATAAACATATTATATATTAATATACTATCTATATATTATATATTATTATATAATATTATATATTAAAGATATTATATATTATATCTTATATACTTAATATTAATATATATATAAATAATATATTATTAAATATATAAATATTTATATATTATATATTATATATTTATATTATATATTAGATATTAATCTTTTATATATCTATATATTTTATATATTATATAAATATATTATATATATATCTATATAATATATTAATATAAATATATTATATTAATATCTTAATAATTAGATATTTATTTATATACTTATAGATTATATATTTATATTTCTTATTTATTTTTAATTATCATATTATATATTATCTATTTATATTTATATTATATATTAATATATTATATAATTATATATTATATATTATAATATTATATTTATATATTAATATATTCTATAATTATATTTATATTTTATATTATATTAACTTTATATTATATATATAATATTATATTATATTATAATATATATATTATATTAATATTAGTATTATATCATCTTATATTATATTCTATATATGTAGAGAACATGTAGTTGTCAACTATCAATAAAGACACCATCAAAGATATTATATTATATTATAATATCATTTATCTTATATCATAGTATAGACGACTGATAATGTCAACTATCAATAAAGACACCAATCAACATATTCTGTAATCTCATACAGATCAAAGACGAAAACCCCATGAAGCGCTGTTTAAAAAAACAAACCTGCTACGTCAAAAAAAGATCGAACAGCATTTACCCCCAAAACCCTAGAACCCTGAACCTTGAACCCCCAAACCCGAAACCCTAGACCCAAAACCCTAAACCGCGAGGGAACAACCTCAGCAAAGATTATGTTCTTGTTAAACGGGAAGTAATTTAAGCTACCATCATAAAGAAACCCTATTCTTTCCTATGGATCCCACAATGGCAACTAGTATGAATTCCTTGACAAGAACCCAGAAAAAGCGTCGCATCCAAAGGGGCACCAAGAGAGCTGCTCGGCGACCTCGGGTCCCGGCTGCCTCCAAAGCGGAATCCGGGGGTTTGGGGCTTAGGATACCATAAGGGTTATATCCTATAAGGGGCATGGTTGGGGCACGAGGATACTATAAGAGCTTTCAGTAGGACTGAGTTCAGGGTTTTTTTTTGAGCCCCTTTTTCACCCAGCAATCCAGTCTGCTCGACAAAGGCCACAGAGGCCAGGGGACAGGTGACTTCCCAGCACCCCGAACCAATGCCACTTACAGGCACCGATCCACAGCCCTCTCAGTCGTCACCCTCAAACTCCACACTTCACCCTCGTTCTCGGACCGCGCAAGTCTCAGGCCCCATCGTCCCGCTCATGACGATCATCCTCTTCCAACCCTCGTAGCATCAAGGCACGCCGTACTTGCACTTGCTGGACACTCCCATACAAACGTAGCACCTGCTCCTCCGAGAGGTCCCGGTCGTCGGCGATCGAACACACAAGGTCAACAGACACCACTTCGCTGCCCCCCTGGATCCCTGGATGTCAAAGGAGTCCATCTGGGTCATGCCCTCCTCCAACCCGGCATGTTCCCGCCTGTCCGCACTCACAACAATAGAAATTGAAAAACTCCTGTTTGTTTGGTTTTGGTATACATATTTTTTATTTTTGTTTGGTTTTTGCATTTTCTCATGCAACCTCGAGGAAAGCCCTAATTACCCCAGTGCGGGCAAAGCACACAGCCTCGCCTCGCTTCTCCAACCTCCAGCACATTAGCCCATCGTTCTGGAGAGCGCCGAAACGCCATGGCCATATTGGAGACTGGGCGATCTGGCGGACCGAAGCTTCACCGCTTGTGCGGCCAGATCCCGTGCAGGCACACACAGGTGCATATGCTTTTGACATGTTCCCTCATATCAGTGTTAGCATACTGTACACACATGCACTGTACATGCCATTATCGACGACGGCGCCTGACTTCGCCGTTTGCAACTGTCCAGTCTGTGAGAGCATATTGCCTCGGAAAATCTGCAAGGTGTGGGCCGGGGGAAGCTCCAAGCAACGTCTGAAACGCGTCTAGAAACCCAGCAGACGGTTCATTCGATACACTTGGAGGGGTTTGCTTCGGGAAAATTTTGGAAATTGCCTCTTTCGCGCGATACGCTTGTTGCGCCTTCACGAGTCGATTCTCTTGCACCTCATAGACCTTGTTAGGGTCTCGTTTGGAAGTGTCAGTGTTAGAATCGGGGTCACCAGTGGTTTGACCAGTACCCACTTGGCCCCCTTTTCCCTAGGCGACACCACCGCCACTGGGCTCACGTAATTTTCCCCCTTCAGCTGGCTTGTGGGAAGCGTAGTGTTTCATACTTGGATCAAGCCGGCAATCGATGTAGCTCACAAACTCCAAGTGTACAACTGGAGCGGCCACCCAATCCGTGCTCGGCGAAGAAACTTCTGAGAACCAACAAAACGCTGCAACCAAAGGGTCAGATGCGGATGGTATCGTCTGCTGCTGGCTCCATTTGCGCATAGCATACACGTCACGCACAGGAGCCTTGACTGTAATCCATGTGTTTGATTTCATGGTAACCCGGTTTCGATAGGGGCTATGCTTGTACTTAAAGATCAGCTCACTGGAAAACAAGTCATAGTCTTGATCGGTCAACACCACCCAATTGAAAGTCATGGAAGCCTGCGGAGGAAAAACCACTTTGATCCGAAACGCACTCCTGAGCAAACGAACCTGATTGCTCAACAGCACATCAGAGTACGGCTCAACTTCGGTATCATTAATGGTGCCAAGCGGAGCGCCCTCGTCATGAATAGTAGGCTGATCCATATGCTGGAAATAACCAGTCTCCCGGTTGTAAGTGTTGAACTTAGTATTTTGAGGGCTTGTGGTGCGAAGGCATCCAACTGATTTGCCAGGAGCAAAATAAACAACCATGTTACCCAACAAGGTGTACGTAGTCGAATCAACTTGGTACCCCGGTATCACCTCCACTCGTCTGTGGAAATGCTCTACTGGAATTACTCCGGCTAAGGCTCCGAATGGCTGCCACTCCGTGGTCAATTGCCCGGACACTCGCTGATTTCCTTTTGAGCGGGCTTTGGCTTTGGCTTTGGGTTTGGGAAGCTGCATAGGTGCCCTCTCCGAAGCTAGGGCGAGCTAGTGAAGCATCTTTTCGTGGTGACTCTGCATCTTTCTCTCTGCCATACTCGGCTTCTGCTGCGATTGCCCCCAAGATGCGTTCTGCCGCCTGTTCTGAGAGGACTTTCCCCATCCTTTCCCCGAACCTTTTGCACCTTTTCCATGCTTTCTCTGCCCACCGCCGTACGTCATCTCGCTCCTGCAGAAAACTTGGTGAAATGCTCCATGTCCACAAGCTCACGAAGAAGAAGGAAGCAGATGGTGCAGGACCACAATTGGGCGGGTGCAGATGCACCCTGGCACGCCCCAACGCCGGTCCAACTCCCACAAGTGGGAGTTGGAGACCGACGGGGGCAGGGTTTCGGGGTTAGGGTTTAGGATACTGTGAGGATTTCATTCAAGGAACTTCCTTGTTCGCGGGGATTAGGGTTTAGGGGCTCTGCGGCTTCGAAGCTTGTCTTTTAGGTTTGGGAGTGCATTATATGGGTCGAAGAGTGTTTATAACAGTCTTTGTCGGACTGTAATGGGGCGTGAAGAGATTTATGGGATTGCCTTTCAGGGAGGAAACAGGCTTAGAGTTCGAGGTTCAGGGTTTGGGGTCTCCTTTCACTTCCTTTCAGGATTTACAAGGGCTCTAATAATTTTAAATAAAACAAGCACGCTTCCATTCCCTTCCGCTCATTTCACTGTTTTGCCTGTTTAAATACAACACAGCACTAGGATTCTTTCATTAGGATATAGTTGTAGATCCTACAAGAAGATTAATTATGATGGTAGAATGATAGGAGAATTTACTATCTACTAAGATGCAACTAGAAAATAAGTGTAATTCTCTGGTAGGCGTGTTGGAAGCGCGTCTCCGTCAACGAGCGCACACCCATCAGCTGCTGGCGGGTCGGCTTGTGACTCAGTATCTCATCGGTGACTCTCGACCTCAGCACGGCCTCATCGACGATCGCATACGTGTAGCTGGCTGATTCATCGACCCAGTCCAGGCGGTTGCCAGGGTCGGGAGGAAGCCCCCTGGACGGTCAGGTATCAGCACCGTGCAGATACCCGTCGAGCAGGGGCTGGCCAGCAAAAAGTCGGGCTTGGAAGCACATCTACAGGCAGCGTAGCAGTCGAGCTCCAGAATCAGCACGGTCGATGCCGGCTACCCAGGTACAGCGGAGGGCCTGTCCCTTCCGACATCGTGGTTGATGTCGAACTTCTCCATGACCGTCTCTTTCTCTAAGGACTTGCACGGGCTCTTAAAAGCCGTGTCACGACTTTTGATTTTAGGGTTGCAGGGCGACCTAACTAACCCCAAGGGCGGAGAAGTTGCGGTAAGGATCCGGGCAAATGCATGACTGTCATGCAAACGGGACACTCCACAGACTATGACCGCCACTAAGCCCTAGATCTGGGGATTGCCGAAAATAGGGGACACTAATACAGTACCCTATATAGTAGGACCCCCAAAATAAGGTACCCCCTATTTTCGGAAACTCCCATCTCCAAGCCCTGAACAGTCCCCCCCCTTCTCTAAGGCCCCTGTCTTTGCCTTTGTGGGCTAAAGATTCATCAAATCCTCACCCTGCGAAGCTAAACCCTAAACCTTAAACCACCTGGCGATAATGTTCTTCAGCTGGACGTACAGCTTCTCCTGAGCCATAACTTCCAGGCTTAGATTGCCAAAACAGGGCAGACTCTTCGAAGCCACTTGCAACGGTACGAAAAGCGGCCGTAAGCTACAAGGGTACGGGGGGCAAACTACTATCAGGGTACTGTCAGGCTACTGACCGGGAGTAGGATCTACTCCAACATCTCCTCAAGAAAATAAGCATAAACCCCCAAAACCAGGCTACTTCCGCAGAGGTTGGTCCTTCTCTTGGATAAGCGCGTCCTTCTCCACAACCTGGCTGCTGCCACGCATATCCAGGGAACCCTAGGTCAGAGAACTACCTATATATGGGGCCTTAAGAACTATCCCCTACAGCACGGAAACCGCGAGACATGTGAAGCTGAACCTTTGCGTCCCCTTACCCCTTAATTCAGCATCGTACCTTCAACTTAAGGACCCTAAACTATGGGAATAATGCTCTATCTTTTATTCTGGGTAATGCAGGATTTGTACCTTCAACGACAGGAAATCCAAGTGTGAGCTGGAGAACGGAACATAATAGCTTCGAGGTAAAAGCCGCTGGCAGAGATTTTTGTATAGGGGCCTTAATCATTAGAATGGGGTTCCCTGAAGGATTCCTTTTGAAGGGTCTATAAGTTTATAAGGGCTACTATAAGGGTTTAGTGTAGGGGCCTTAATAATCAGAATGTGGTTTTGAGGCCAATTACACTATAAGTATAACAAGGAGCCCCCACAAGAGTATTGGTATTTATGTAGGCCCCTATAGTAATGCTTCAGGCGTGTGGTAGACGTGCCAACTAAACACCCGCAGCACCAGTATTGGAATGAAGCAGAGCAGACAAGGTCTCACCTAAATGAGTGTAAGAGTGAATGGTGTCTGTAAAAAAGCAAGACCTTGCAAAATCAAAGCAGGAGAACAGAAGCAAAAGTGGCGTGGCACCGGGCCTTGCCCTAGAAATTCTCAGACACGAGCCTCCTCCGTCTTTGCAATCAGAAGCTTCTGCAGTGCCTTGACCTGTCCGATGGAAAAGGCACGCAAGATGCTCTTCAAGTAGCACAGGCCTCTGTTGTTGTTGTTGCTGTTAGTATGACCGTTGTTCCGATTACTTTGCTGTTGCTGTTGCTATGCCTCTCGTCTTCTTCAGTCTCATTATCACTACCGAATTACTGTCATGAAGAAGCCTTGCAAAAGGGGTTGGGCCTCTCCGGGAATGACTCTCTGCTTGCGGCGTAAACCTACACCTGGTCTGAGTGTGGGATCTTGGATCTGGGACCCTAAACCCAAAACCCCAAACCGTAAACCCCTAAACCCTAAACCCAACCCTCAAACCCTAAACCCAAAGACTCCAGCAAAGTGCAAAGAGGGCTCCTGGCCAGTAGTCCAAAGACCCTACCCGCCCCACATTCGAACCGTGAGTGCTCACATGCGAGTCTGTTCCATAGTGCCTTATCCAGCACCCCCTAGGCCCTACTCCTAATTCAAGGTCAGCATTTTTGCTATACTTTAAGGAAACAGTCAAGCGACTTTAAAGTCTCTGGTCACTCTCGGGCACAAGGCCCTCAACAAAACCGACGCCCACAGACCCGACATACGTGCCCCCAAAGATTCCTAAACCCGATCTTCAACACGAAAGCGCAAAATCCTCGAATTCCCTAGAGCCCAAATCCCAGACCGTCGCCACAAACCCTAAGGCACTCGGGTGTTCCTAAGCCTAAAGCCCCAGACCCTGAGTATGTCCAACACTGTCTGGGTATCCCTGTTCTTGGTAGCCTCCCCCTATCTCCCCGTAGACCCTGAATCCCTAAACCCGAGATCCCTAAACCCTAAACCCTAATCCCTAAACCCGAATCCCTAAACCCGAATCCCTAAACCCTCAACCCGAGATCGCCCCCAAAAAAAGACACACCCACACAGCAAAGCCTTGAGGATGCTCTGGTACGTCGCCGGATCCGAGGACTGGCATCGTGGCATGTTCCATAGCTTTACATAATATACATGTATACATGTATCCATATATATATATATATATAT